TGTTGGTTGCGAAAGCTTGAAAATTTAATAGAAGGCTCCTAATATATTGTTTCAAAGGCAGATGAAAAATATTAAAAATCCTTAGTCACAATTTTTTTTTATAAGCATTTAAAGTTCAAAAATTGACAAAATATGGAAAAATCACGAAAATTAGCAAATTATTTTGAGTTAAAAATTCGTAAAAATTTTTCTTTTTAAATCTAAGATTTGAAAATTAAACACAAGATTCCTTATAAGATTATCTACCTTTATCAAAAAAAAAATGTCTATAAGAAAGTCAAATTAAATTTTTATGACCGTTTGAAATTCAAATTTTTACAACATTGAATATTCACTCGATTTCCCATGTAGCGATTTCCTTATTTTGTTGTAATTCAAAAACAAATAACTGTAGATACATGAAAATTTCACTGAATGTTTATATTGGCATTTCCTATACACCATACAATTTTGAAAATATTTTGACTCTTTTTGAGCTGTTTATGGACATTTACAGCTTTCAATTTTTTTTAGTTTTTTTTCTATAAATATCAATAAAGTTTTATCTGTTGGGCCAAAAAGTGGAAAATTTTAATACAAGGCTCCTGATATATTGTTACAATAGCAGTTGAAAAATATTAAAAATACATAGGCACAGTTTTTTTTTATAAGCATTTAAAGATCAAATTTTGACAAAATTTATCAAAATCTCGAAAATTATCAATCATTGTAATTAATAAATTATAAAATGTTCAGTTTTTATAGCTAAGGATTGCAAATTTTAAACAAAGGTTCTCATAAATAGTTCATACTGTAACCAAAAAATCTAAAAAATATATGAACACAGTTATTTTTTATAGACATTTTAAATTCAAATTTGGACGAAATTACATATTAAAAAAACCTAGAATAACTATTATAGTTATTTTGTTGTGATTGAATAATATTATTCGTGGGTACTTGAAACTTCTAAAGTGTACTATTATATATCTATGATAGTATCACGGTTTTTGTTGATGTATAACGCGTTATAAGTACCTAATGGACATTGTGATATGATTAATTTGGAATTTATTATAGGTACCTATTATAGTTCAATTTTTTGTTTAATACCATAGATATGTATATAATATGTCTTATACATAGACTGACATACCGTTTCCGCTCAGAATCGTTTTTCTTATACAATGATATTATATCGTTGAATTCAAATTTAATATCATCCATTATACAGTGACCCACTTGTAACCTACTGTACAGCAGAGCGACACCCACTTGCCCACCTTTTTTTGCTTATAAATACTAGCCAACAGGCAATGGTTACATATTATAATATAGTAATAAGTAATAACTAATAATTAGATATTAGTGGAAACATGGCATATTCATTTATCTTACAAATATATTTATAAAAAAATTGTCGGCAGGGGCAACGCCGTAGGGACAGATAGTTTTATAATAATTAGCAATGTAGGTAGGTATACATTATAAAATATAAATAGTTATAAATGTTATAAATGTATAATAGGTATCCAATGTTTTTGGAAAAAATTAGTTTAACCTATTTAATCTATTAACTTATTACCTACCGTATATTAGAACCTAGTAGAAAAATAAACAAATTATAAAATATCGTTGGAAATAGACTCTCTGCCACCGCTCAAAAACTTTTTTTAAATCAAATATTGTATCAACGTAAACTTTAAAGTCAATTTCGTATTGCCAAAGTTTCAATAATTGTTTGTAATAGCCTAATCCCTAGTTGATAATACATATAATATGTTATAAACTATAGACAATTACAGACGTATAGAAATTTAGTCAATCGATGATAAATTCGTTTCCTACGATATACATACAAAAAAAAAAACACTTCGTTTTGCAAATCATAGAATTATTATTTTTCAAACGATAATAATTATTTGTAACGTTATCAAATATTATGGTTTTTTTTTACTTCAAATCTAATTTTTGGAGTTTTGTTTCCCTTATTAAAACAGTTCCTATACAATGGTCAATGGTAATAGCCAATAAGGAAATAAGTAATATGTATGTCTTTACAGTAATCGCACGTAGGTAACAGGAAACTTGTGTAATTGACATCCACTGAAGAAAACATTTATTTTAGGTTTGTAAAATGCTTTGTCTATATTTTTAAAATATGTCAACAGGTATGTTTCATAACAATTGTTGATATTAAGATTAAAAGTGTGAAGCTCAATTATGGTTTTTTTATACCTATATTAGGGCTGGATTTATATGATGGAATTTTTAAACCACAAATGTATTTAAATTAAACCATTTTAACAAACGTGAAACGTTATTCTACGTCACTAAAACCTTTGACGTAATACATAACTCGATTTTTTTAACTCGTTATGACTTAAAGTTATTACCTATAGGTACTTTACGGTGCAGCCAATAACCGATACAATTACCTAACTATATTGATGACACGATGACAGTATGGATCTCATAGTATTATAAATATTATAAAAATTTTAAAATTACAAATTATCTCAAATAATCATAATATCTACCACGCAACACGCAATAATGAAAATGTCCAAACGATATTATGTTATTTTCTGACTTCCTGTTTACTTGACGAGAAGTTCGTTACTTGCGTTACCACCGTCCACCAGAATATCCATCAACAATAGGTACCTGCTCTTAAATACAAATGTGCAATTGTTATTGTGTATATAGTATATTAGGATGATAGAACGCAAACTTGATTGATTATTTTCTTATGTCACAAGCTTAAGAATCCTATAATATGCGCTTAAAAACAATAAAATATTATTTTCTAATTGCATTGTTTAGAAAAAAAGAGAGAAACAACTTAATTTAAAGTGAACTGCCAGACTATCGGTTTGCCTATATAGGACACAGTGTACCTAATTTTTTCAATAAACTTTAAATATTAGCACTATAAATATATTATATACGAATAAATTGAACCTGTAGAAAGGTTCAATATATAGGTATTACACGAGTATGGAGGCGCGGGTACCTAAACATAAAGCTCTTTATTTTCAAATTATAATTTTTTTTAATAATTAAAATTATTTTTGTTGATTAATAAATAATATTATAAAAATAAATAAATAATAAGATATTGCCTATTGGACAACGGTTATTCTTTTTGGTAGAAAATAAAAATGGTTATTCGGCCATGGATTTAAATTTTGTTTGCTTAGGTACACTCAACCGTGAACCGCCGAGCCAGACGAGCCTATGAAACATAAAAACAAAACATGTTGTAACCACCTGCGGACTCGAACGCGCGCCGTGTTTTTCCGTGTGCCATCGGAAGGTTTGTAACGACACTCGCGCATAACGCGCATAATATCCGTCGCTGCCCGCCGTGTTATTCGATATTCGAAAAATCAAAAACCGTTAGGGAAAATAATATGACGACGTCATCAGCAAGCTAGGCAATTGTAGGCTTAAAAGATTTTGTATTATATAGGCTGCAGCACGAACTACTGTCGTTCGGTATTCGTAGCCTAATCGTACCAACCGTACCAACCAAATTTAAGTGCATTTTTTCATATTATACGGCGTCGGGCGTCAATATTTCGTAATTCAGAAAATAACAAAAAATAATTTCTTTTTTTTCAAAAAACGCATTCGGATTTAAATACAAATCTTTACGATCATACAATTTTTGACATCCAATAGTACCTATATACGCGTGTATCATGTCGTAGTAAAGTTCAGTCTAATATCTGCACCGAAATATTATCGTGTTTAGAAAGTACCTAATTCATATTTTGGAACACTTTGGATGTGATTCTTACGGGAGGCCGTGGGTGGTTATACAACGCGTGTTCACTAAAACCAAATCACACGAAATATATTCCAACCACAGAGATGGCCTGTTAAAATTCCACTCGGCGGGGACCGGAAAAGTCAAATTTTTTTTTATTTTTATCACAAAGGAAAAATGCTAGGAAAAATGTTATTCCAAAAATGATTTTAGTATGACAAGCGTAATAATTTCAACGGTATTTAAATTATTACGAATTTATACGAAGGCATCGTTTTGCGCGAGGAAGAGAGTTTAAAAAACTGCCCGGCGATGTGTGCGGGTAACAAAATATTATTATATCGTAACCATAATAACAACAACAACAACAACAACAATATTGTTTTGGTACTGCGAACGCGGCCGTCATCGATTGCCGCGAGAGACGGATATAATATTATAATTATTATACTTTCGTCAGTGTTTTTTCGGCGTACCTTCGAGCGCAATTATTGCGGGACCGTCAGATCATAATATCGTATTTTTCAATAAATAATAATATTATAACAATATACCTAATATCGTGACGACTGAAGATTGACGACGTTGTTACTATATCGTCATATTATATTATCATAGTATTAGTTGCCATCGACACGTCTGTCACCGCGACATCTTCTATCTATGGTCCTATGGATAACCGTCAGACCGTGCGGTGTAAAAAATTAAAAAAATTAATGATAATAATAGTATTATAATAGTATTATTATTATTATCATCATCGTCATCCGGCCGTCGACCGACGACGCCACTATCGTCGGTTAGGTTGGCGCGCGTGTGTTCGGTGTTACCCGCGTTCGCGTGTGGCGCTATTTAATCTATTCCGTGGCAGTAAGTTGTACGTCTTGCCGTCCGTTGTTGTTTTCAAAATGAATCGTCCGTAGTGCGCGCGCGCGGGATAACGCGCGGGCCACAACATTTTTGCCGCGAAAAGGACGCGGCGTCCGAATAACGGCCGCCGCGGCCGTAACGTTGGCTGCACTGGCGGCAACGATAACGTTTGTGTGCGCGGGACAAGGGGTAGGGGAGTGTTGGCTGAGCGTCCCCTCTTCCCCGTCGAACCACAACAACACGGACACGCCGCAGCCGCCATTATTTCCGACTACCGTCGCCCGCCGATGTCATATCGTCAGTGTCGTCTCTGCGTGCCTGATTATTTGAAAATTTTCTCTCCTGCCGACCAGCCGTCCGTCTCCGAAAATCGAAAATGACGACCGAATGGAAATACGAAATTAACGATCTAGTTTGGTGAGTATCTCGCAGCTGCCGCACGACTTGCGGACGGTGTTTCGTAATATTTGCGCGAATAAATGAAAAAGAGCGCGATTTACTGGTACGGCGTCGATAATGACCGTTGTCCGTTTTTCTGTTCACAGGGCCAAGATGAAGGGTTTCCCGCCATGGCCAGGACGCGTGAGTATTTTTTCCGTCTCTGTAAATAATAAAAATGTCTAGTATTTTGTATTATTATGTTTTTTTTTTTTTTTTATGTGTGTTGCACACTCAAAACCATTATTGTTATCATTGTTATACGCTCGTCGATTCATATGTTTTGGTGCGTCGGGCGCATATTATATATTTAAAAAAAATATCATAACTGACTGTCCAATGTCTGAGCTCACCAACCGTCGATATGCAGTACACTCTGTTTATATTGTAGTTTTATTTTTTGTACACTGCCGGCTGTAAGGACCCCTGCTGCTGATCAATGTTGCCGTCCATCGGCTGTGATCTCGATTTGACTCGAATATAGTCCGCTGACGTGTGAATACCGTATATCGACCATATTTGTTCTACGCACAGACTGTATTGTACGTGTGGTAATTTAAATATGTGTTATTCTTGTTGTCCGGTCGGACTGAGAGAAGTGCAACCCAATATTCCAAAATAATATTACCAACCTAATGGTAAATATTATGTAATATTTTCAATTGTTTAGTTTCTTCCCGAACAATGTGCACACAAGCACTGCCCGGCCAGTTAGGGATCTATTCGCGCATGCCGATGTTATGTAGTTATAATTTTTCATGTTGTACGGCCTTCTCCTGTTCCAAGTCTGTGATGACATTGAGCACGTTCAGTTTTTGATCTTACTGTTTTTTCTGTTTTATTTATACATTTGCACTGGTATTAAACAATCATTTTGTTAATTGTAGGTGAGCGAGCCGACAGTACAACTCAGTAAGAAACCGAAAAAGAATTGCAAATGTATTTTTTTCTTTGGCTCTAATAATTAGTAAGTTAAAATTGTATATTATATTTACTATTATACTCTGGCCCACGAGAGAGTATTACCGTCGCCCGACGAAAACTCGTCCGATTCCGCGCATTCCTCACTACTCGGCATGTGCCGACAACTGTTCGGTACCGGTCGGCAGCGCTCAACGCTATACGGTGTATAGCGGTCGCGGAAATGGGGCCTCGGAATGGTCTCCGCCGTCAGTCTGCATGCGCAAAACGGTAATACTCTTTCGTGGGCCGGAGTATAGTTATAATTAACTGTTTGATAATATTTAAAATTAAATATTTAAGTGCTAACCCATTTTGTGGTGAATTGTATTAATTTCAAAGAGGTACCTGTATTCAATTATAAACAACTTATTTGACAATATTTTTGTGTAGTGCCTGGATAGAATTCGGATGTTTAAAACCATACTTTCAGTTCAAAGACACATTAACCTATAGTTGTAAGACCCAACCTTTCAAAGAAGCTGTTAAGGCAATTGAAGATCATATTATAGAAAATGGTACCGAAGAAGTGAGTATTTTTATTAAGTTATTATTGATATTTTAATTAATGTTGTGTACTTATTTAGGGAATAACTAATGGTTTATCTGAGGCTGATTCAAGATTTGAAAATTTAGTTCAAAACGAAACTCCAGCCCTTCAACCAGAGAGTTCTGGGACTGTATGTATAAAAAACAATTAATATAATTGAAGGGTGGGTGGAAATTACGTGCTATGTAGCAATTCGTAAATGTTCAGGAACAATTAAAAACGAAAAATGTTTTATACAGTTTCTAAGTTTATACACGATGATTGTGTACGATAAAAACATTCTGCAAATTGTTTGAATATGTTGAGATTGCTTCATAGCACGTTATTCCGCAAAAACAAGGAAATTGAAAAAATGTTTCAAAAACGGTATTCCTGCTCACCCTTCAATTGTTTACAATTGTCCATAAATACAAATAGCTATACTCTTTTCAGCGAGAGACCGCACCGATTCTGCGCATACCCCCTCGTCACCTTGTTATCAAAACCGGTTTCTTTATGGCAGGGTGTTGCGTGGTGGAGCAGTTTTGGTCTGTGCACGGCGCGGTCTCTTGCTGGACAGACCATTCAATCATTTAAATATTAAATTGTATATGACTGTTGTTATTAGAGCACGTATGTCTATGCCTTAAAAAACCTATAAAAATGCTCCAACAGTATGACCTATAAATGTTATATGTTAATGACCTAAATAAAAGTGTAAAATATTTTTAAAGTAAATAAAATTTAAAACTACAATTTATAAACATAGGAGATTTAAATTTAAATTTCAAAACTTGTAATCTAGAAAACAATTAAGAATTGTAATAGTTAGGTAAAATTAAATTAAGTTTAACAGTAATCTTCATACTTGTACAATTTTATAATTATAAAAATATAATAATGACAAATAATTAACTAGTAATGTTTCTCTTAATTTTTATAAAAAAGTAAAAAATGCAAATTATAAATTAGTAATATAGCTATGCAAGTAATTGAAACCCATCCAGTCGCTAGTTCTCATCAATAATCAGGACTAAGTTCTATGCATTTGTGTAGGAATATTGCTCATTTACATTGAGTGTTCAGTATCATAAAAATTTGTTTCAATTGTATTGGATTTAATATACATATTATGAAATTTTATTTGACATAATTATACATATTTTTTATTTAAAAATCATCATCAACTTATTTTTAAGTTTTTGTGAATATTTAACATAAATATAAATTAACAATTTTTTTAATAACCGTCAAAAACAACATTTATTTATCCCTATATTACTAACCTTATTTATCAGTCTTTATTTCTAACATACTATAAAAATTATGAACATTTAACTATTTTTAATTGATTCCATTCAAAAATATAATTAATAAAAACACAACAATTAAACTCTTAGATTACCTTATTGTAAATAATATTAGTGAAACAAAAACCTTTTTTTAGATTCTGAGCGGAGCGAAGAATGTATTGGTTTTACAATGATGTGTGTTTTTATATTTTTATATTTTTATATTTTTTTTGTGTCTGTCATCACGTTTTGGGACAGTAAAAGTGCTTAGATTTTCTTCAATAGTACCTATTCTGATAGGAAAGTGAATCTAGTTGGTACTTTGGGGGGTCAAAAGTAAACATTTCCCAGTAGTTTTCACAAGCGCCGGAAAAACAACATAAAAATTAAGGAAAAACGGGAATTTTTACGTAAAATTGGTTTTCCAAAAAATCGATTTTGGTTATTGGTGTAACTCTAAAACAAATGAACGTATATACATGAAATTTTCACTGGTTGTTTATATTTGCATTTTCTATACACGATAACATTTTCAAAATATTTTGATTTATTTTGAACTGTTTAGGGACATTTTCATTTTCCATTTTTTTTTAGTTTTTTTTTCTAAAAATATCAATACAATTTTATTTGTTGGTTGCGAAAGCTTGAAAATTTAATAGAAGGCTCCTAATATATTGTTTCAAAGGCAGATGAAAAATATTAAAAATCCTTAGTCACAATTTTTTTTTATAAGCATTTAAAGTTCAAAAATTGTAAAAATATGGAAAAATCACGAAAATTAGCGAATTATTTTGAGTTAAGAATTCGTAAAAATTTTTCTTTTTAAACCTAAGATTTGAAAATGTAATACAAAATTACTCATAAGTTTGTCTACCTTTATCAATAAAAAAATCTCTACCGGAATGTCAAATTAAATTTTTATGAGCGTTTGAAATTCAAATTTTTACAACATTGGATGTTCACTCGATTTCTCATGTAGCGATTTCCTTATTTTGTTGTAATTCAAAAACGAATAACTGTAGACACATGAAAATTTCACTGAATGTTTATATTAGCATTTCCTATACACCATAGAATTTTGAAAATATTTTGACTCTTTTTGAGCTGTTTATGGACATTTACAGCTTTCAATTTTTTTAGTTTTTTTTTCTATAAATATCAATCAAGTTTTATCTGTTGGGCCAAAAAGTGTAAAAATTTAATACAAGGCTCCTGATATATTGTTACAATAACAGTTGAAAAATATTAAAAATACATAGGCACAATTTTTTTTTATAAGCATTTAAACATCGAATTTTGACAAAATTTATCAAAATGTCGAAAATTATCAATCGTTGGAATTAAAAAATTATAAAATGTTCAGTTTTTTATTTACATAAGTTCTTATATTATACCCTCTAATTTTGATAATAGTTCAATTTACAATTATAGTAAATCTAACATTTGTATGACAGAAACATAATAGTGAGCGTGTGTACTCTTAAGGGGATTCGATACCGTGATTTTCTGTTTTTGTCTAACCACGCGCGACATAGTATTTTAGACGTGTTTTTGCCAAACATACCAATTGATCCAATGAAGCGATAAGAATTTTGAAAACAGATTTGAATTTGTCATAAGGTCTACTTGAAATCGACTTTCCCACATTTTTGATATCATCCCTCGAATTTTTTAAAATGTCATATTCAAAAAGAGTATTTAAAAATTCTGTTATTTCAATTTTTGGAGAAGTTAAAATCAAAAATGTGGGAAAATCAATTTCAAGTAGACTTGACTACAAACTCAAATCTGTTTTCAGAAATCTTATCGCTTCAATAGATCAATTGGAATGTTTGGCAAAAAACACGTTTAAAATACTATGTCACGAGTGTGTTAGACAAAAACAGAAAATCACTGTATCGTATCGCCTTAACAGAAAAAATAATCATAACTATAATCTTAATTCTGTAGACTTCTAATACAATTTTAATACTTATTAGAATTAAATATTATTTATTCTATTTTAATATTTTATTTTGAAGGCTATCTTATTGTATGTGCTCTACCACAAATTGTGATATACTAGCAATTACAAGATTCTTGTTGTGTATGCGTTCTACCACTCGATTAAAATTATAGTATTTAATGCACACTGACTCACAATGATAGAAAGTTTATGGAGGATTCTTAAGCTAAAAATTAAAAAAAATATGTTTATTTGACAACTAAATATACATATTATTATGCTTCCAAAGTATAATATTTTGTAATTATAGAATTTTATATTTTTATAAATATATAATTATATATATTTATAAATATAATAAATAACTATTATGTTGTGGAATTCATGCGACAAGAAAGCCTATTTCATAGTTTCTCTATCTTTAAAAAAAAACCTAATTTCTTAATATCAGTTAGACTAATATAAAATAAATAAGTAAAGACTTCATGTTTTAAATTAAAATATTAAAGTGTGGGCAATTTGTAAATCCTAAATTCATTCTTTCGATAATGTTTCAAAAGTAAATAATAATTTATATTCATTCAGTATGAGTTTCATTATTAAAATTATTTTAAATGTTTTAAACGAGTGCGAATCATCCTAAAAAAACATTTATTGGATAATTTTATCTTAGTAATTTTTTGGGGGTAATAAGCATTAAGAGGACATCAACATTTGTTGTCTCCGTCTAAAAATTGTGTAACCTAGCAAATTGTACTCTCGGCAGAACACTTGTACCTTTTGCACCATGTTTTTTTTTTGGCAAATTAGAACGAATTGACTACAATTTAAATGTAAGATAATTATCTAGGCAATCTAATCGGCTTTTTATTATATTTCGATTTTGATGTGAGTTATGAGTACTGTATTTTAAAACAGAATTGTTTGTACCTCTTAAAATACTCATAACTCGAATTTGAATGAAATGAAAGTTATTCTACTCTAAATACTATGTGTAATAATTAATTAAAAGGATATTTTTATTTACTTTTGTTTTCGGAAATATAAGGTGATTATTAATCCATCGACATATATGTAATATCAAAAATTGTCTTAACTTACTTGAAATAAATGTCTTAATATACTTTAATATACTATTTACATTTTACATTTAAATATGTAGCGTCTCCTTTGTAAAATCAATGTATGTACCGCCATAGGATGCTCCTTAAATGAGAAAAAAACTAAGTATTTTTAAACATGAAATGGAGGGGAGAGAGTTTGAGCATTCTTGAAAAATCACCTAGGGTATGGAGTTTTTCTCTGTAAATAAAGAATTATTATTATTAATACGATAATTACAATCATACATTTATACCTAAAATCCTTAAAAACAAAATTAATGAGATATTTCTTTATGTTATAATAAAATACTCACAATATTTTTTTCAAAATATCAATTACTTATACCTTCTTTCTAACAATGATCTAATGATTTGTAACATGCAAAATAATTTTTTAAAATATTAGATTTTTTTGCCTGTTGAAGCCTATGGGAAATAGAGGTTAGCACATAGGTATCACATTAGTTTTAACAAGTAAACACTACATAATTTTAAATTACCGGTCAACAGTATTTTGAAACAAATAAATCTAAATTATTTCAGGTTAGATACTTAACAAAGTTATTGAAAATAATTAGAACTATGAATTTAATCCTCGCATAAACTATATTAAGGCATTTAAAAATTCAAAAAATTGCGTATACATATACTGAACATGAAATGTATGAATGTTTATTGAAAAGCAAAAACTATTAATATAGATGTGTTTTTGGGATTGGATATAAAAATTTTTTTGACCTTAGTCCTTTTTTTAACCATAGAATCACCATTCCACAATAAAAACTATCTATGATTCCTCAATTATCCTTGTACAAAGGAAAATATTAAATTGATACTTTTTCTTAAAAAAGCTGTGTTTACAATAAAAGAAAACAATCCCTACAAATTCACATCCCTAGTCTTTTAAAAAATTGAATGAATTCATAGAAACACTTAAAAATACCTACCTATTTGTTTTACATTATAACTTGAGTCATCTACTCAAACTTTTTTTTAGGATTTGTGTTTTATCAATTAGGTATATATAAAAAATCAATAAAGAATTATTTTAAGACTGTTAAATTATTGAAAGTAGATTGTTTTTTCGTGCAATTAGACCAACAAGCGAAAGAAAAAATAAAGATATTTTTAGAAGTATAATTTTGAAATTCTTTTCTGTTAAGTAAAAAATACTTTTTTTTTAGGAACAATAAATAAAAGTAAATTTTGAAAAAAAAATAATAACTTGGTATCTACTAATTAAACACTACATCAAAATTAAAATAGGGATTATGGTACTGTTTACATTTTTATTCCGCTTTTTGGGACTTCCATGACCACATGGGAGTCTAAACCTTTTTGATCGCAAAATATAGTGATGTCTGACTGCTAGTATGTATGTTACAGATTTCCAAATATCTTAGCTGTAGTTTATCTTTAGGGTGTTAGATGCGGCAATTTGCTGTCTTTGTCTAACACACTTGGAGCTTAGGACCTACGTGATTGGCAGAAATTAAGGTACTTCTAGTTGTTTGATTTAAAAAATGTAAAGATGTTTGATTTGGTATACAAGTTTATTTTGCAAAATATTTGGTCAAAATTTAAAATATTTATTCTCATCAAAATATTGCTAAAATTAAAAAAGTCTTTAACCGATGCAAATTAAACTTTATACTAATTCAAACATCTTTTCATTTTTTAAATTGAACAATTAGAAGTACCTTAATTTTTGTCAGTCGCTTAGGTCGTTATTCCTATGTTCAACGTGGGTGAGATAAAGACAGAAAATCACCGCATCCAACTCCCTTAACGCTTTGACTACCATGCGGCAGATGATATGTATCGTATGAACTCCAAGTATATTTTTCAGTGTCATTCCAGATTTGTATATTATTCTATTTATTTTAAAAAAATTTAAAAAATATATTTTTTACATCGAAAAATTTGTAATGATTTGCGCTATGCCTAAGCGCTTTTTTGTAGCATTATTGTGTAGCACCATGGAAAAGTTAATTATATAAAACTATATTTATTTACGGTAGCCGGTGGTCGCAAAAGTATAACATTTGAAATTATCAAATGACCGCATGTCAGTCAACTGGTTAAAGTGTGCAGGGAACACATGTTGTGCACAGTAATGATCAGTCACTATACACAGAGTCACACATCACTCATGATGGATATAGAATTTGGCTAAATTCGACCCCTAAAAAATAGTTTGCCTTCAACATTTTTAAGGTTAATTGGAGATTACAAGTTTTTATGTGACACATAAGTGACTGCAGCCAATAACCGCTACATATCAGCATCTTTCAAAAGATTTAAATATAATTTAAAACAGATAACAATATTTATTTTTATCTATCTATTATGTCCTTAACATTAAAACTCTATGTGACTTCCTAAATTTTAGTAAAATACATTGCAATTTTATTATGTTGAACATAACTTATTTTAAGTTTTATTTTATTATTTTCAGTCAAACATACGCAATGCATCAACACCACTACCTGAAAAAGCTAAGAAAAGGCGTTCCAAACCAGTTCAATCTACCTCTAATGGGCCTAAGAAAGAAAAACCTAAAAAACCCCGTTTAAACAATAGAGCCGGTAGATCTGAAGATAATAATACGGATATACTTACAAATCTTGGGTTAACAAATAACCATACAAGTCCGCTTCGGAGGAATAATACTCTATTAGACAGACCTGAAGTAACCACTCCGGTAAATATAAAAATTACTGTCTATTTGTTTGTTGTTTTGCTTATAAAGGTTTAAAATGATTTCAGGAACTCCCCCCATTAGATATAACAAAAATATCCAAGGTTTTATTGGATAAGAACATCGTACCATCTTCTTTGAAATTTGGATTCATTGGTTTGGGAAATATGGGATCAGGAATTGTCAAAAACCTATTAAATTCTGGACATGAAGTGATCATTTGGAATAGAAGTTCAGATAAGGTAAGAAATTTATTTAACTGTCAATGATTAGACAAACTAATAGTACCTGTTATTTTGCCTTGATTTTTAAAAATTTTATAAAATTTATTGAATTACAATTTTAAGATCCATTAATAATAATGTAACTAAATTGTATTTAATACTATTATTTTAAACTCTGGTATTATTCACAAAATTTAAATATATAGTTTTTACATTCAGTATAAAACATATTTCATAAGAGTTCAAAGTAAGATTATTTTAAAAAAAATTTTAAACGAATTTGAAAATGTATACTGATTACTACTGAAGTTTGTAGATACACAGGCAAGTAATCAATGCTTTTAGAAAACAATTTTAGTACGTTCTAGTAATTTTACCAAAAACAAAAAGCCTGCGCCCACATTTAATTAATTTTATTTAACGCTTAATTCTTAAATAAACTTCTATACTATTCCTCGTAAGTTAATCCACTTTTTTTTTTGCTCACAAACAATATAGTGAAATCGTTGCAACAATACAGTTAACTACACCGTGGTGTTTTGCGACGTGGAACTGTATTGTCACAATGTTTTCACCATACCCTGCGTGCGCAAAATAAACAAAAAGTTCGTAAACTTACAGGGAATAGAGTATAAATACAAATTATATTGATGCTATCACATTTTTAGTATTTAATGATTTTAATGCGAATGATATTTATGCACAAAATGTATATTATTACAAACATACAATGATTGGAGTATAGATTTTATTCTGCAAAGCTAAGATTTAACAATTTTAATTCCTATAAGAAACAAAACTTCAATAATCTGTGGTGAATAAAATATTCAAAATTTCAAATCTTGATTAAAATTTTAAACGTTTAATTGTTATTATTTCTACAAATTAGTTTAAGTAGTTCATTTTAATTGAAGGTTGAAATAATACATACGCTCGATTTATAATCTCAAATTGTATTTAGATTCTGAGTGATGTTATGAATGTATTAATTTTACAATTTGTTATGGTTTTTGCCAGTAAAAATGCTTTGGTCTTAACATTTCGTAAATAATATATTTTTTCTATTTGGCTAATGGTCAAGACACATGAAATATCATATTAGTTTCCTACATTTTATATTTTATTACTTATTTGTAAAATAGATAATACACAGGTTGCTTAACCAACTATATCCTTTTCCATTATAGATTCTGAGCAGTGATCAATGTATTGCTTTTACGATGATGTTTTTTTTTTTTTGTGTGCATGTGTATAAACGAAAAGTTGTTAAAATGATACTCTGAGGGACAAATTTCTAATTCCAAATGTGGATGTAACTAGTACTTTTGACTTTTGAGAAGTCTAAATAGAAAATTTAGAGTAAATTTTAAATTTTAAATACTGAACGATGAATGTATTGATCTGACAATAATGTATGTTTTCAATTTTGTTGTGTCTGTCATAACCTTTTATAACAGTAAAAATGCTTAGATTTTCTTCAACAGCATCTTTTAGGATAGGAAAGTGAAACTAGTTGGTACTTCGGGGATCAATAGTCCAAGCAAGGAAATGGATGTCTGGTGGGTCAATGTATGATGGATAGTATTAAATTTGAATTCAATTATGTACTATCATTGTACATGAAAAATTATTCAGAGCGGAGCTAGCTTGTCAGTCTAGGATATTATTATATTTATATTGTTAGTACTTATTATTGATGCAGTAGTCGTAAGTTGAATAAAATTTATAAAACTACAAAAAATAAACAAAAATAGTTATTCTGGGTTATTTAATTTGTAAATTCATCCAAATTTGAACTTAAAATAACTATAAAAAAAACTAGGTTTATGTATATTTTTAGATTGGTTACAGTATTAACTACTTACGTGGAACCTTTTTTTAAATTTTCAATCCTTAGCTATAAAAGTCTTATAAATATTTAACTACTAAATGGTTTGTAAATTTTGTCATCATTCAAACTTTAAATGATTATAAAAAAAATATTGTGCTTATGTATTTTTAATATTTTTCAATTGCTATTGTAACAATATATCAGAATCCTTGTATTACATTTTCATTCTCTTTGACCCAACAAAAAACATTTTATTGACATTTTTAGAAAAAAAAAACTGAAAATGTCCGAAATATTTTGAAAGTTCTATTGTGCATGGAAGATGCGAATTTAAACATCCAGAGAATATTTCAAGTATCTACGGTCATTCTATTTAATGTTACATTAAAAACCGATATTCCTTCATTTGTATTTTTACTTTCCCGGCGCTTTTGAAAATTATTGGGAATTTTAAATTTAGAAACCTCCTGAATGCACCAATTATCCCATCAAAACAAGATTAAGCAGTTTTATAGCCGTAAATGGTGATGGCTAAAAAAAAAAAAAAAAACATGATTATAGCAGAATAAAAACTGGTATATTTATTCAAAATAGATTTAGGGTTTTTGGGTTAACTCTAAAACTAAGACTGTAGATATAAATGTTGACTGAATGTTTATATTTTCAAAATATTTTGACTTGTTTTGAGCTGTTACCAATTTTTTTTGCTATAAATATCAATAATATTTTATTCGTTTGTTCAAAAAGCTTGAAATGTAATAAGTCTCCTAATATATTGTTACAAAGGCTGAACAATTAACATAATACATTTTCAGAATTTTTTTTATACACATTTAAAATTTGATTTTTGACAAAATGTATCAAATTTTTTATATGTTCAACTAAATGATAGAAAATGTAAAACAAGATTGTGCATAAATTGGTAAACAAATTACTTTATTCACAATAATATCATAAATTATGCTTAGTAATATCATAGGCTCTGACTGACCGTCTTCCCTCAGAATAGTTTTTTGTATGCAATGATATTTATCATTAATTTAAATTTAACATCTATTACAGTGATCTACTTGTAACCTACTGCACAGCAGAGCGACACCCACTTACCCATCTTTTTTGGTTTTGTATTGATAATTTTTTCTGGCTCAAAAAATGAAATTCATAGTTCCTTATGTATTTTTACAATAGCAGTTCAAAAATATTTTGGATACATACGCCTTTCAATAACCAATTTTTATAATATTTATCAAAATCATGAACATTTAAGAGGTTCCCCATAACAAGGTTATACTTTAACCAAAAAAATTTAATTCAGTTTGTTTTACTTATTACTTATAATGAAATTAAATATATGAATATATAACAATTTGAATTACCTAATAGGCAATATACATTTTTTTTTCAAATAAGTTTAAATTTCTCTTATATGTCTGCAAAATCATATTCATTTGCAAATTTTATAGTAAAAAATGTATATAATTTTAAATCGTATAGCTTTATGTAATTTGAATACTAATACTGTAATTCCTAATACTGTAACCTATATATATAAAAACACAATTTTTTTACACTGAATTTTGTTAAATTGGGACAAAATTAGATAGGTGTTAAGATGATATTTAAACGAAAAATAACAATATTAAAACTTAACATATATTTTTATATTTTATATACAGAATGACATTCTAAAATGCAATATTTTCAACAAAAGTTAATTCAACGTAGGTACTGTATTACTAATTAATTTATTATAATAGCAAGATAAATATATCATAAAATATACTTAGTGGCGTGGCTGACATATAATCTTGCTCAGAATGAATTCAAACACATACATTTCAATGACTTGTTCAAAGTTGAGGCGTACTGTCATCTACTTCTCGTTTTTTTAGAATAATGTTATCTAACTATTAAAACTAATATTTTTGATTAACACTTAATAAATATCAATATTAAGATGACGCTACCCATACATTTGTTGTCTCAGTCGTACACATCCACACGACATAGCAAATTATCATTCACTAGTTTCAATAGTATGCTGTTAGTTTTGATACTAAAGTGAATTGACCTATTATAACATGTGCTTAAGAGTTGGCTTTTATTCAATATTTTAATTTTCAAGCGAGATATGAGCATTTAAAATTTTTTATATTTTACATACACATATCTTACTTGAAAATGAAAATATTGAAAAATCGCCAACGCTTAAGCACAGATAATATTCTTACCTAAAAGTATGATAATAGGTCAATTAACTCTAATATGAAAACCTACAACACACTATTTATACTAGTGAATGAAAATTTGCTATGTCGTGCGTGTGTAAGACGGAGACAACAAATGCATGGATGGCGTCCTTTTAAATAAAATAATGTTTTTAGTGAGGCAATTTTGATGTTTATATTATCTATTGGATATCAACTGTTGTAGAGAATATGAAAATCATTTTATTTTTCATTTAATATAATAAATATCCCTTATTTTATTTTATTATACAAAAGTAATACAAAAATCTACATTCAATAGACAATAATATGAAAATATAACTAAACAGCATAACATTTTTTTATTATTATTATTAGTTACATACACAACTTTCATCTTTATTGTATGGCAGATTCCAATTTAATTCCACTTCCGTCAGTAGGACTAGCTGACATTGACCTACAGAAAACATAATATTGCCGTTAATTTACTTGAAATCATGAAGTATTAATATTAATTAATTTTATATTAATACCACCAATATTATGAGTTCACAATTTTATCTTTACTTCAGGAATTTGGAACTGTTATAAACCCCAACTTTTTAAGAAGCATAAAAAAAACCTTAATTAATTCTATAATCTTCTTATTGTTGTATGGTTTCTTGTCAGGTGAGATTATTATTTATCTTATAATGATATTATAATTTTTTATTTCTATCAATAATTGCTGAATGATCAATAATAATTTATGAATTTAGATTCTAAGTATAAATTCTTATATTTAATATTATTTATGTAATTGATTGTGAAATGGAACAAAATAACAATAATTTTTTTCTATCATAAATGGTATTTATAATTTTAATATATAAATTTACTAACAATGATAATACTTATGCTATTTTATAATACAATTATTAAAACTTAATTACTTAATTCATTTTGACTTTATACTTAAACATATTTTGAATTACCTATTAAAGAAATGCTAGCTGTAAAACTTTTGGTTTTTTTCTCAAATTCATACTCTTGATAATTTTATAAAGTTTAAGTACAAATGCATACGATTACATTAATATTATTTTATTCAAACAATTTTAATATTTATGAGTTGATAAAATAGACTGTGAAATTATAAAAAAAAATATTTTTACAGTTTATTTTTGTACTATTTTAATAATAAATTTAACTGATTTAAGGTAAAATAAAAAAAAAATTACCATAAGACAATTTCATGTAGCAATTATTTACAACTAAACATCTGCTGGAAAAATTTTTGGTTTTTCTGTAGATCCCATTTCTGTTTCTGTCTGTTGACTCCGTTTTTTTATACAATTCAGTCTATAACAAAATCATCATAAACATTTAGAACGAATAAAAAAATACTTATTTTAATACTAACCTTATTAATAGTAGCTTGAAAGCACAACATAGTATAGTTAGCACTAAAAATCCTAATGCTGACGATATTCCTAATAACAGTGCATTTATTTTGATACTGAAAAATACTTCACTGTCTAGATGCACTTCCACTAGTTTAGAACTGTTTCCATATTTGTTTGATACATAGCAAGTATAATTACCAATATGGGTTCTTAGCATTCGTAGAATATGTAAAGATCCATTTTTGTCAGTTAAAAGTGATTGACTAACTATTTGATTTAGATCCCAGTTATGGACGTTTGGATGGTGTGATATATTTATATCGGCTTGTTTATTTTCGTGAAATGTTAATCCGCCTGGCACTAACCAAGTAATTGCCGGAAGTGGATTTCCATAAGCCATGCAGTTAATGATTCCTCTTTTGGTTAACTGTAACGTAATAGGACTGTTTGTATAGTATATATTTGGCGGGCAGTTAATTTCATTCAGTGATTCAATAAAATTTGAATACTTTTCATAACCAACTACAGTAGTCGTTTCATTGTTGAACCATTGGCTAAACCATCCATTTTGACAATTTGGTTGAAGTTCTGTATTTGACATTCGTAGATGTTGTAGGTTCTTTAGAGAAACAATGCTAGGTGGTAAGAAATCAATTGTACCACAGTCGTTAATTTCTATAATTTTAATGTTTGGCGAAGAACTGATGAAATTGTCGTCAATCGATGTTAAATGTGTACAGTTATTTAGTATAACACTATACAGATACATATTGTGTTCACCGAAGGAACTTTGATTGAGATTTCTTATTCCGCAATTTTGAATACTAAGGTATTCCAGTTTGTGCAAGTTTGTCATTGAATTTGTATCTAGTAAAGATAAATTTGGATTGCCTATACTGAGGTTTTTCAAATTGATAGTGTGTTTGAACAAATTTTCTGATATTGAACTAAAACGATTTTTCTCCAAGTTGACCGTTGCCAGTGAGCTAGCGTGTATAAATAAGTTGTCCGATAAAATATTCAGTTGATTGTCAGACAGGTCTATGTACTCTAAACGAAGACAGTTGTGGAATGCATCATCCGACAGTTTAAAAATATCGTTTCTAGATAAATCTAAGTGCTTAAGATCACTGTGATACAATGCCTCCACTAATTTTATCTTGCTCGCCACCCATGTGATTTCTCGCAGTGGTTTGCCGTTTTCGAACGTGCTGTTGTTGACGACCGCGATAGGAACGTCGTCGAAACGTACGACTTGTGTGCCGTACGGGAGAATGAACGCTCCATCTTGTTGTAATGCCGTGCACGACACGGTGTTGTTGGCGCATTTGCAGGCCATGTCGTTATCGCACACGGTGGCCGCCGCGTCCAACGCATTCGTGAGCTTTTGCAGTATGATGGTCGTCAAAATAATCGTTAATGAATCCATTTTCGAGTTATCTGAAACAACATTTCGTATACAATAAGAATCTGTTCGGAAAACACTTGCGATCTCGCGATCGTTTTGCGCAGACGAGTACTGTTGAAAAATACGTTTTACCTTTTGATGCGTTTTATATGGCGGTTGGATCTCATTTGTTCCGAGTTGTCGGACGCTTTACTCGGGCAAACGGTGAGAAAAACGAAAATCATAAAACGTCGTCGGCCGCGTAACGTTTGAAACGATATTTTACGGATACTGACGAACGACGGTGTTATACGCTCCGAAGCCAGTAGTTTCTCTGATGACTCAGTGTTGCCAACGTATTCCGGCTGTCCCGTGGGTGCACTGTCGCGCGCGTGCCAACAGCGATTAATAACCGTCAACAACAGTCGTCGGACAAGGAGACCTACGGTAACTGTAGTAGTTAACGATCGTTTTAATTTATGCGCATCGAGAAACGGGTTGCGCGTTTTCAATCCACCCAACGATCGAATAGATAATATCAGCTGCGGCAGCTGTATTTATCATGAACTAAGATAATTATTATCTTAGTTCATGGTATTTATGTACATTCATAATATTATAGATAATAACAGTGATATTTTTCCTATCATTTCGAATGACGCTTTGATTTCGATTTTTGTCAGAAAATATTCATGTATATTTTTAGAAGAACACTGAAACCTGAAACGTGTAGTATGTAGATGAACCGGTTCATAATCAATTATAATAACAATATATTATTTAATCGTTCGGAAATAATCAGTTTTAAAGCGGCTTTGCTACTAAATAACCCAGACCCAATGAGCTTTCGATGTATAACGAGAACCGCGAATACCGAGACAAAAATACTGAATTTTTCGGAAAACCGCGGTTCACGAACTAGCGGCGGCGCATAGGAAACTTGCCTATAGTTTTATTGTCTTATTTTTCGCGGCAACAACAAACCGCTTGAAACAACGTTGCCAGGCCGGCTTGGCGGCCCCGACCCGCCGCAGCTGCTTGACCCTCGCGGTAAACAGTGTCAGAGCGGCTTGTCGTAAATCGTAATAAATTAATAATCATTATTCATTTCAACATTCGTGCACCGACAGTAGGGCGTAGGCGAGTGTGTACTTGTGCTTCAAAAACGTCGACTTTTAAAGGAATCATAAATAATTCGACGTATATTCGTCAACTCGCCACCCACTTGTGACGTACCCCCTAAAAAAGAGGAGGGTTAAAACAGATCTATTATGCCAATAATTGTGTAGAGCTGAAGTGCAACGAACGAACATCTTTCATGGGTTCCGCGACGGGCAAAACGTTGCTGCCACTGTCTGTATAATTTCTGCACATTTTTAAAACACGAGTACAGAATTATGATATTATAATCGGCAAGGTTAGGATAGGAATATTTTTACGATTAGTTAATCACGTGACATGGTGTTAGCTTAACGTATTCAACATTTAATGACAAGTGGGGTAAACAAGGGGCGTGTTACTCAAACTTTATACCAAATCTGGACCTTTACGAATTGCAATCGATCGGCTGCATACGAACTGAGTCCCAATAAAACCATTAGGACAAATTAAATCCCTGGTTGTTTTAAGGTATATATTGTTATTAATTGAGTCCCGTGAAATTTTAGGTATAATACTAATTGATTCTAGTCAAACTTAAAAAAAAAAGACTTGATGATTTTTTGATTAATATTTATGAAAACGAAATTTTTTTCCATCGATCAAAAAAACACTTATTTATTTGCATGTGTAGTCTCCGTCTTACAAATGTAAAAAAATAGCAAAATTGGTTTTGCGCGTAAAAGAACCGAGAAAGCTAGACTACAGGTCATAGCTAAGAAACAAAATTTTCACCACATTAAAAGGAGAACTTTGGCTGTGAAATATCGTTTTTATCTTTTCGATATCGGTACTACGAAGTTATTCAAGTTTTAAAAACACAAAAGTAATGGATTTTGAAACAATAAGAACTTTTTTTCGTTTAAGTGATATCAAAAAATTAAAAAAAGGTATTTCATAGATAATGTTCTCAACATATTGTATATAAACTTGATGTCTTAACTATAAAGTATAAGTACAACCTGAATAGTTCTATGACGGAAAAAACGTTTTTCATATTATGCTGTACATTTGGCAACAAATGCTGGTTTAGGTCCCCTTAACATAACTTTATCCGTGGTGTTCGGTGTAGGGACCTCGTTAACTAGAGTGTATAGTATAATTATATCGGAAGCCGATAATAATTATTATACTAGCGACGGTAGAAATGAAAATCCAAAATTCCTGACCTATACCTATATGTTATTTATTATCTAAGTGATGCAAGTCATACAATTTTATATGAACGACATCACGTAGTCGTCTCCATTGTATACGTATGGTTGATTTTACTCAAAATAATCCCCGGACTTCATTAGTATATTTTTGGTTTTCCGTTCAGTATTGGGACTCAATTAATATTACTGCGTTACGATCATACAATGTTTTTTATCGTGATAAATAGATACGACATTCGTCGACTGTCGGTTTGTGGATGTTGAAATCGTTTGATTTTGTTAACTGTATAGCGACGTTACTAGTTACGACATTTGTCCAGTATTTTAAATAAAACTTTAGCATTCGTTTGACATGATATATTTTTAAGGATTTCAAGTACATTTTGCAAATATAAATCTCAAAAAAAATATTATCAATGGTATTCTTATGGGATTAGCTGTTCTTTAATTTTTAAATTACAAAAATTATCTGTCATGATTAGTTATTCTAGGGTAAACAAAATGTTTATCAAATATAACAGAAGTTTATATTAATTTGTTGGATTTATACAGCTCCTCAGCCGGTCAAGGTTGTTATCCCTATCAACTTTTGTCTATCCTTTAACCTAATTTGTTTAAAAGGTTAGGTGGTTAGGTTAGGTAATAATAGCCGTAATATCAAATATAATGTATTATAATTTATTATTTCGTATATTTAAAGTACTCGGTGACAATATATTTTAGAAGTTTTTATTTCAAATACTTTCATTAATAGGTAATAAACTGATAACCATCAACCACAACGGAACGCTATGCAATTAGCCGAGTTTCGAGTTTCCATTGCACCGTTCCGTGTAACATAATGTTTCGTATAGGTATTTACGTAGATAACAAAATTTTGGTAACCCGTTCTATCCATTGGTCGGAAATATACGGTATACAACTGTTTTATATGTTACATTACACGATAGAGTGGAAACCCACCTTATAAGTTCGATATATTTCAAATCGAACCACACAAACCGAACCATTTATGTCAAATTGCGATGCTCTAATAAATGCTCTGATAAATAATGAATCGTTTGTCAACACATAATAACGGATCAAATAAAACTTACAATAATTTTAATAGTTTCAAAACTTTCATAATATTTTAATATGTTGCATAATAGTATCGTACTTTTACTAGGTACTACCTATTTTATAACCATTAACCACTCGAGTCGTGGCGTTTATCAACCCACATACAACTGTACAATGACATTTTTCAATTATTTATAACTATTCTTATAGTTTTTCGTGTGCGTTCAATTAATTAGGAACACGGTTTATATAAGTGTGTTGTAGTATAAAAACTAAATTTATATCGTAATCTGTTAGAAGTTGATCGACTAAAACACGTGACATTACTATATTATATTGGTAGTAATTTTAATGTGAAATGTTATGTAATTAAATTAACTTACGTAAAAATGTAATTACATTGTTATCGACTAACACCATATTATGCTGTTATACAGTTCATAACTTAAACGTTTGTATGTTATCTGCAATCTGCTGCAATATTTATTATTTTGTATTTAATTAAATATTAAAACGGCATTTTTTTAGTATTTACAATCAACAATTAACACTAAAATCAATATTATTACGTAAACACGGATTATCATTGTTCTGTTTTATACACAACGTTGTGGAAGTTGTATATAATTATATATTTGTACATCAAATCGTTCTATAAGTTTCAGCGGCTAATGGTCTAATTATTCATAGTCGCGTCAGTGCATTACGCTGGTTAATCTATCTTGCACTATAAAGTATAAGTTGTGGAATAGTAAACCATTATTTTTTAGTATTAAAAAATACAACTACCTATAGGTAAAACAGGATCAAATTATCAAAACTAGTTTATATTATTGTAATTATTATATGAGAAGTATACTAACTTCTACATCATTTATACGTATTACCTAACATATTGCATGTATATGCATTATACATAGATGCAGTATTAGGTTAGGTTATGTTTATTATAAGCATAACCTTACCTAACATATTCATCCTTATTCATTTCGATCAAATTTATATTGAATTTATTATTTCTTTCATGGTGCAATCTGTTATTCTCAGTTTTTATTTATGTAATGTAATCATAAAAAATATTTGTGCAAATCAAATAATACCTATTATTTTAATATTTTTTATTTAATTTAAATATTATACATGTTTGTATATTGTACCTATTATATTTTACTACTAAATAATACTTAGACTTCTTCTTACTAATAACATTTTAATAGCATATTGACATGTTAAGACCAGTGATTTCTATAAAGATAAATAGTGTTAAGATTATTGATAGACCTGTTTATGGCAACTAGTTAACCGTCTTTCACTAATCATGTTATTCCTGTATTTAATATTGGATAAGTAGGTTTATGATATATTGATGTATATAAGTTTATATAACTTTTATTATAATTAAATTAAAATAAACCTTAAAAATTAAAATTGTTTATTGTTAAAAAACAAATAGTTCATTGTAAATAATAAATATTTGTGTATAAAATAATAAGAATCCAGTTTAATATGATAATTATAACTTAACAATAAAAGCAGACGTTGGTCTTTTGTTAATATATTATTATTTATTACTTTAACTATGTGTTATTTTATGAACTACAAATGTATATTTTTTGATTTTATAGTGTATAAAGTTTCAAGATGCAGGAGCAACAGTTGGACTAACTCCAGCAGATGTTATAGGAGATGCAGATATAACATTTTCTTGTGTTTCTGATCCACAAGTTGCTAAAGATGTAAGATTTTTGTAATTTTTCTTATATATAATTATTTGTATTTACTATTTGGTGATTTTTACAGATGATATTTGGGAATTGTGGTGTACTTCCCGAAATAAATAAAGCCAAAGGATTTGTTGAAATGACTGGTATTGATCCAGAAACATCTCAAGATATTTGTGAGGTTTGTTGCTAGCAAAGTACTAAATATTTTTACTACAAATATCATGATAATGATATGGTTTTTAATGTTAACAATTTATTTTATTATGATGTATCACTCCTTATTACAGGCTATATTGAGTAGAGGCGGGCGTTATTTAGAAGCCATGATTCAGGGAAGTAAATCAGATGCAGATGAAGGGAAATTAATTTGTTTGACAGCTGGCGATCATACTTTATACACTGAGTGTGAATCAGTATTTAATGCAATTGCCGAAAAATCAATATATCTAGGTAAATAGATATATTATATTGATTCATTTTATAAATTACCCTATTATTACTCTATTTGTTTACTAGGTGATGTTGGTGCAGCTTCAAAAATGAATTTGATTTTACATTCTGTCAAAGCGGTAACTGTAGCAGGATTAGCTGAAGGTATGGCTCTGGCTGATAGAGCTAGCATACCGCAACAATCTTTGCTAGACATTCTAGCTCTGACTTCATTAAGGTGTCCATTGTTAGCAGAAAAAGGAAGAGGTATGTCCATTTTAATTTATATTTAATTTGATTTATGTGGATTATAATATTATCTGTTAATTATAGCTATGATGATGGGTGATTTTCAAACTCATCAAGCTTTAAAGCATATTCAAAAGGATTTAAATTTAGCGTTAAACTGGTCAGATGTTTTACAACAACCTTGTCCAGTTACGGCTAGCGTAAATGAAGTATTTAAACATGCAAAACGTTTAGGTTACAGTGATCATGACACAAGTGCTGTATATATCCGAACTAAATTTTGATTTATAGAACTTTTTACAATAACCTTAAACCTTTCCTTTTTTTTTTTTTTTTTTTTTTTGACAGTTTTTTAAGGCCTGTTTAGCAGATTGAAATGAATTTTTTCATATAACAAATTATTTTGTTGAAAATATAGATGAATAATAACTATTATATTTTACTTCAAAAAAGAAAACATTGTAAATATTAGAACTGTGAATATTACTTTTGCACCCAGCCCATTTTACTTATAATATAAATGTATTTTTTAAACTAAATGATATAATTGTATGGAAAAAAAACATAAAAGTAAATATAATATATTATATACGTATATATATATATATATTTATGTATGTTTTGTTTCTATAAATATATATGTAAATGTATTTCTATTTATATATACCAATATAAATATAAATACATATAAAACAAAAAGTAATTATGATTTTACTTGTTTAATTTTTTTTTTCTAAATTAATAATTGTTTACTTGTGTTACACAAAAATTTAATTTAATAATGTAATTGGGATAAGTGAATATATAAAATGTTAACTTCTAGAACGTTGTGTAAAATTAAATTTTAAGAATATAAATGATAAATGATTTTAATTTGTATACTAATTGTATTTTGTAAATATTAATAGATAAATAGTAATTTAATGATTTCGAAATAAGTTGGCTAAGACTTTAAAATTATTTTGGTTTGGCTATTCAGTTTAGTAACAATTTAGAAAAATACTAATGATTTCGCCTTAGGTGTTATAATTAGTCGTATAATTTAATGTTATTTTTTTTTTTTTTTTTTGACATTAAGTAGTATTAAAATAGTTTTAATTACTTAGAATGTGTAATTTTACATTTATACTTGCTTATTAATTTTATATATATTTTTTTTTTTTTTTAGAAGGCTTTATTCAATTTGAACCAATAGATATCTTATTTTATTATTTAAAAGTAATAAGCTACTATATTATTTCATACATTGGTGATTTCTTTATCACTATAAAAAACCATGTTTTATCAACAAAATTATTTGTACTTACAAATGTAATATTCATTTATCATAATTTATTCTTTCGCTACTATTTTTATATGACATGTTCAGACATAATTTGCAATAACTAAATGTAAATCAGTGAAACTACAATAATATTACTCAGTTTTTAAAATTTAAGTTAACTTCAATAAAACAACAAATTTCTTATTACCTTAAGTTACCTTAATACCTGAAATTATTATTTACAGAAAAACCTTAATATTTGTTTATAATATTATATTTACCTTTTTAATTGTATTAGTTTTGATACAATGAGATAACAATTTATATTGTTTAATTATAAAGTAACAAATTTTAATTTATCTGAAAGTACTGATTGTTTTTATTACATATGTAAATTTTATCGACCAATAAGTATATAAATTATGGATACACTTTTAAATACTTTTACTGATATAAATTATACATTTATTATTTATAATTATTATAATATTCTTATTTAATATTTGGTATTAAAAAAGATAAACATACAACTTAGCATTTGTTTTTTTTTTTTTTTAGGCGATGGCTATTATAATTTGTATGTCCTACTCCAGTAACATATATTTGAAACACAATACTTTATGGCTCCTATAGTTCCTAATTTGGTAGAACATTATTTGGATGGATAGAAAAATGACGAACCTACCACCAGAATTTTAGTATGTTTGGTTATGCCTCAGTTATACATTTTTTAATGCTTAAATAAGAAAAGTTTTAGACAAAGAAAAGGTCAGTATATTGTTTCGCTCTATGTATAAATAGTAAAAATGTAAAATGTACTATAGTAAAAAGTACTTTGTGGTCACCGTTTTTCTTCATAGTGACCCTCGAAGTGATCACTGTCCGTTTTCCGCTAAAATAAATAAATATATTATTTTGTATGCAGTGGTGTTTTGGAGGGTATACGCGGGTATACAACGTATACCCTATCACCAGTTTACTGATTTAGCTGTAAAATTACTAGAGATGCGCAAGTATACGCGCGTATATCCACTTATACCTTCAAAATTAATCAAAAACTTAAATAAAATAAAATATTAATTGCTTTCAAAAAAATATTTTTTTCTTTATTTTCAACGATGGAAAATTATCAATTTTTTTTTTTTAATGATAATCGACTAATAACCATCATATCAATATCAAACAATAATTCATATATTTACAATTATCATCACAGCTATGGATACAATTATTTAAAGCTATCAACGTTATGGACACAGTCCACAGATATTTTTATAATATTATCTGTGGTTAGGTTTTATAATATTATCTATCGACTTGAGGGACTGCCGATTATAAGAATGATATTATATTTATTGTATCGACAGAGGAACAAATAAATAAATAAATTGACATATAAAGGCGCGGTGGTATACCCCATGACCCACCATAAGTTAATTATAGGTTTGGTTGTAAATTTATTTTTTTGACCTTATGTGCTAAGCTTATACCCTAGAAAAAAAATACCAATACATCATTGTTTGTATGTATGTCCCATCCATATCGCATTATTGTATGTTTCACGAAATGGACAACGTAAGCATCCATTTCACTTAATTAAACAATATGGCTTATGTTTCGTGAAATGGATGATACCTATACCGTCTTCAACGTAACTTGTTCCGTCCTTTGGATGTCCTTATAGCAAAAATTAAAATACTTTCATTTTAGATCCTGAGGGATGAATGTACTGATTTTACAATGACGTGTGTTTTTAATTTTTTTGTCTATCATCACCATTTGGGGCAATAAAACCGATTCGATTTTCTTCAACAATAATATATCTTGTTCGAAGAGAAAGTGCATCTACTTGGTGCATTTGAGAGGTTTCTCAATAGTTTTCAAAAGGGTATTGAAAAACAAAACAAAAATTTAATTTTTACCCAAAATCGGTTTTTGACCAAATTCAAAAAAAACGAATTGGTTTTTAGTGTAACTAAAAAAAAAAAATCATAAATACATGAAATTTTCACTGAATTTTTAGTTTACTAATAATTGCTATATTTGATACAATTTTCAAAATATTTAAACTCATTTTGTTTCTATTAATGTCAATAAAATTTTTATTTGTTGGTTTAAAAAGCTTGAAAGTTAAATAGAAGGCTCCTAATATATTTTTTTATTAACAGTTGAAAAATATATAAAATACTTATGCACACATTTTTTTTATAAGCATTTATTATGACAAAATTTAATAATGATTTTGTAGTTAAAAATTTATAAAATGTTTTACTTTTATAACTAAGGATTGAAAATTTAAAACAAGATTCTGTGTTAATAGGTAAATAAATTACTTTAGTCATAAAAATATCATTAAGTATACTTAGTAATATATCATAGACTTCTCAGAAAATATTTTTCGTTAGTATGAAATTAAAAATAATATTGTCACTTAGAAAAGTATAAAGCTTGGAAATCTATAACGATAAAAAAGTCAAAGGTTTTAAATTAACGTGTAATTTAAAATTTAGACTACAAAAAAATCACTATAATATACAATAATATATTATGTTTCGTCCCTATCAAACATCTAATCAAAGACTCAAACACACACTTAATATGCGTTTACTTAAAATGACGGGATTGATTAAACTATTCTGCGGTAAAACCTACAACTCGTCATATAGGTACAAGTTCTAAAATTTCAAACGATATCTCCCTCGTGTCTTTGGAAACAAGATATTACGATTATATTTTACACATCGTGTTAATGTCATATAATATGGGTGCCACCCAAACGAACACTGGTCTTTTTAGGATTAAACATTACCGTGTTTCCGATTTTGTCGAGAGGGAATTAAATCCGTCCGAAATTCCTGTTTAAATCTAAAATATACTAGAATTATCATTCTGTACGTATCTGTGATTTGCCAACCATATTGTCGTATACCTATATATACGATATTAGTTCAGTTTTGGCCACACAACTTCTTATATGATTAAATTAAATTTGTAGGGCTGGGATTTTAATGCCCTAAAAAATTCAAAAAATATTAAAATTTGAAATGTAAAAATGCGCGTTTAAAAAAACGATATAAAGGATACTTGTACAATGGTGAATTGATTTTCCGAAAGCACTTAAAAACACTAAATATGTCTAATGGCACTCAATTAGAAGTAGGTACCTATTGTTATCGCCTCTTAAACTATTTGTAGATAATAACTAGGGCTGCAGCCGACTTCTATAGAGGCCTACGAAGTACAAATTTGTTTCATGTTACGCAAATCCATAAATGTAATCCTATGTTGCGAATTTTTTGCATATTTATGTGATTTTGGTTTTTGAGTCATTATATTTATGCTTAGTTTGCTTTTTGAATCATATATTCATATTTCTTTATTTTGCTCATATTTTTATAATAACGTTTATTTACAACATTTCTTTATTACATAATTAAACTCACCCACACACTGTCGCATGATCACCAGGCACCAAAACACCGCATATACAAAAGAAGAAATGCCAAATTAATTAACAAATCAATTATAAGTTCATCAATCAGTGTCATTGAATATTTCCTAATCAATACAAATACAAGTTAGTTTCATTAAGATAATGGGTTCATGAGAAAAACGATATTCCTAGTGGTCCATTTTTATCGATTTTGATTTTATGATTTTATTACATTGCACATTAGAAGTAATATTGATAGTATATTGTCTCCTGGTTTTTGAGAAAACAATTCAATGTTTGCACACGACAAATTGATAGGTATATCCAAATTTATAATAATACTACCTACCTATATATTATTATTCCAAAATTGCCGTTTTAATAAAAATTATTTTTCGATGAATTTAACTAAATAACAATTATAAGCAATAAGCATAAAGTTAATTTTCTTTAACTTATTAGTTGGAGGTGCGATCATTCCGTCTTCCAATTCACGAGCCGCTGGTTGAACCTGAATTGACCATGATCAATACATTTTTAAAACGGAGACAACTAACGAGGATGTCCTCAGTGTCCACTGTACACTTTATATAATTATATGTAACGTTTATTCGACACTGAATTACGATTAGTACTGTAAGTAGGTATTAATAATTCGTTATTTACATTAAATAATTA